CAGACATTCACCATACAAAGATAACTTCATGGAGATCATGCTTCTGGAAAACGTTATCACTAATAAAGTGAAGAACTGTGTCCTTTATAAATTAAGACCCTAGGAATTAGATTCTGGGTTCAAATCCCAGCTCCACCATTTACCAGCTCCATGACCTTGAGCAGAATTTAACAGATTTTTTGACTATTGAAAAAAGAGCTATTAAGAGTTGTTGTGAGGATTAAGGAGATAACTTGCCAAAGCCCTTAGCATAGTGTCTGATACTTAAACAAAACTAAAGTTAAAATTAATTTGTATAAGATACTTGTCTAGGAACACTTGCAGGACACAGCCTGAAATACCATTTTTCATATATAAGGATGATTCATTATTCAGTCCTCTTCACTAAATGTTTGCTGGGCCACCTACTTGGTGCCAGAGTCATGCTCAGTTCAGTTCAGTTCAGTCGCCCAGTCATGTCTGACTCTTTGTGACCCCATGAATCACAGCATGCCAGGCCTCCCTGCCCATCACTAACTCCCGGAGCTTACTCAAACTCATGTCCATCGAGTCGGAGACACCATCCAGCCGTCTCATCCTCTGTCGTCCCTTTCTCCTCCTGCCTCCAATCCCTCCCAGCATCAGGGTCTTTTCCAGTGAGTCAACTCTTCGCATGAGGTGGCCAAAGTATTGGAGTTTCAACTTCAGCATCAGTCCTTCCAGTGAACACCCAGGACTGATCTCCTTTGGGATGGACTGGTTGGATCTCCTTGCAGTCCAAGGGACTCTCAAGAGTCTTCTCCAACACTGGCTAAACATGAATTAGACAGTTCTCATCCCCCAGAAGCCAGAGGAGGTTGCCATGCCACAGTTCTTATGAGTCTCCTGTGTACACTTGGCACCACTTACTGTAGGAACCATACCATCCTGTCCAGCTCTCCCGTCCACTTCTGTGATTGAGAACACCGGCTGCTGCTCCACACGGGGCCACAGGACATCCTCCTTCTCTGGGGACTCTCCCTGGCTTGCTCTGAGTAATCCTGAGAGTTCTATAGGCAAATTTTGGCTCAGGATATTGCTCAACCACTGTTACTAACTTCTCAAATAGTCCATTTCAAGTCATCTTTCTACCCACATTCCTACCCCATTGTAATTCCCATCACACCGCAAAGTGAGACTTAACCTTCAGGGAAACAGCTCTCCTCAGAGCTGTTCCTCCAGGAAGCCATTCCCAGTTCCCTAAGGCCAGGTTGAGTGCCCCTGTGTGCACTCCCTTCCCAAGCAATATTACCCCTACCCCTACAGTCGGTCCTTCCATTGAATTGTTGTCTATTTCCTCATTGGACTATGAACTCCTTAAAAGCAAATGGTGCATCTTATTCATGTGAGAATACCTAGAGGCTGGCACCTACTAGATACGCCATGAAAAAATAATAAGTAAACTAGATTTTTGTTTTCATAGTCCAGAGGTTTTGTGAAGTTGAGGTGAGGGCAGAAGCAAGATGATGTTGTGAAGTTGAGGTGAGGGCAGAAGCAAGATGATGAGGATAGGGTACAAAGGAAAATGCCCATAATGCTATTCACTAGCTCTGCAATGGAGTTCCAATGGAGTTCATGGAAATAAGGCTTAAAGGCAGTTTAAAAAATGTCCTGTGTTGTGACATTCTGCCAGAAGATTAAAATACAGGGATGGATTTAAAATGGGGAGGGAGAGGCAAGAGCAGAAAAAACCATTTGCATGTAGTCTAGGCTAACATACTTCCTTCCCTTTCCTTTAAGAGAGTTTCAAATGGCATGTCAAGACCATGTATGAAATGTAAAATAATTTAATGAACTACAATCATCATTTTAAAAATCTAAGCAGAATAGAATAGGACAGAATAGAAAATATTAGAGAGCATTACTTGTAGTGAGAATAAGTATTATTTCACAAAACTTGGGATGCATTTGTACATATCATGATGTCATAGAGATTTCTTACTGTGAGCTGTGACCAATGAAAACTGGGAAGCAGCTGCTTAGGTGACAGGGATCTAGTTGGAGCCAAGCAGATAGAGAAGCAAAAGGGTTTCCTGAGAGGAGAAGTGTAAGGAAGATGAGGAAGAAGGGAATCTCACCACTAAGGGGCAGGCTCTGGAGGAAAGATGCAGGCTATGATGGGTGAGCAAGCCTTTGGTGCAGACCCATGGGAGAGAGGGTGGAGTTAGGAATGGCTGCCGGAGGCTGTGATTCTCCATCACTTTGGGGACCACCATCATCTTACCTTGAAGTGTTCCCACTAGACCAGTACTAACTCCTGAAATGATATCACTAAGTAGCCATTCCTTGATCCGGTATTTGGGAAGCCAGTCCAAGATGGGCAGGAGAGTCTTCACTATGCGAAGGGTTCTCTTTCTTGAACAACTGTCAAAAGGTGAGAAAAGGAGACTTCCAATCCAATCTTGGTCACAACCCACTGCAAATCACAGTTTTGAACTGAAGTCTGCTAATGTCTCTAACTATTTAGAAAAAAGCATAGGAATTGCATGAAAAAAATACTAACAGTGAAGGGCTTCCCATGTCTTTGCCAAGAACTCTATTTACCCTTTTAAATGCACTGTACTAGAAAACGCAGGATTAAGTGTTAACCACCCCCCCCCACCCTTAATCCTCTAAGAAAATACCCCCAAACAAGAACCCATTTTCTGGTCCAGCCATAGATTGATCAATGTGGAGTCTTTAAATGGAGATTACATTTGGACTTCTGACCTAAGCGTCTTCTTTTTCTTTCAAGAAACAAACTCTGTACATTCTGGCAATAGGAGCTTGGAGCCAGTTTTTACAAAACTCTTAACATGATGAATACATATCTTGTTGTACCTTACTACCTAGTTTTTAAAATTCAACAACCTATAGGTAAAAGAAAAAACATATTTAGGGCTTCCCTGGTTGTTCAGATGCTAGACAATCTGCCTGCAATGCAGGAGACCCAGGTTTGGTCTCTGAGTAGGGAATATCCCTTGGAGAAGGGAATGGCTACCCCAGTATTCTTGCCTGGAGAATTCCAAGGACAGAGGAGGGAGCCTGGAGGGCTACAGTCCATGGAGTCGCAAAGAGCTGGACATGACAGAGCAATTAACATTTTCAGTTTTTCAAACACTATTTGACTCTTGATTCAAATAAATTATTTTAAAAATTATATTTATGAGACAATTTGAAATTTTGTTGACTTAATTTTTTAATATTAAAGAATTGCTTCATTTTTGTGTGTGATAATGGAATTGTGGGTTGTATTTTTTAAGAGTCCCTAAAGATAAATACTGAAATAAATACAATCCAAAGGAAAAAAAAAAAAAACCCACTGTATGGAATTTGCTCCAAAAAGAAAAGTGGAGTGGGGCAAGTATGTGGTAAGACAAGATTAACGTTGAGTTAATCATCCTTGAAGCCATGTGATGGGTAAAAACATGGGAGAGGGTTCATTGCACTACTGTGCCTGCTTTTGAATGTATTTGAAATGTTTTTTAAACGGTTTGAAATGTTTTAAGAAAAGAAAAAAAAAAAATGTAGCAGCAGCTGACAATTCCTTCTGCTTGCGATATCTACTTACGGGTGGCCCGAGTGGGTTTAGAGACTGATGGAGGTTCCTCTTGGAGAGCCCTGCTTCCTGGACAGCGGACACTCGGAGCACCCGGTGCTCTCCTGTGTTCTCGCCTTCATTCCATGCCTCTGAGTGTCATTCTTCCTGGATGAGCTTAGGGCTTTCAAGGACTCTTGCTCAGGTGACGAGTTACCCACTACCTCTTTGTAGTAAAGTCCCTTGTTCTCCCACTCTCCGCAGCCTAGCCTTCACAAGACCGTAGGGACCCGCTGTACCCCAAGGCGCACTCCAGGTGCCCTCAAGAGAGCAGCACAGACAGACGGCGCTCCCCGAACACACCCTCTCCAAAGTTGAGTTTCCGAAACTAGGGTCGATTCGGGCCGAGAGTGATGGAGCGACCTTCCCACCAGGGAGGCCAGAGTCCGTAACCTGACCGAAGCCGTCCCTGCAGGGCGGGCGCGGCATCCCACTCTCCGCCGCTGGGTATGCCGGCGGGTCTGCGCGCCCACATTCCCGGATTCACTGCGCCCCTCGCCCCGTCCGCCGCGGGCGCTACCTGCAGCCCTGGGCCAGGTTCTCTCTCAGCGTCTTGCGCTCTTTCGGGCGCTGCTCGTACTGCTGCTGGAAGGAGAGCTCGTTGTAGACCGGCCGCGACACCACATAGCTGCAGCTGTACTCGGGGAGCGGCGGCGGCTCCAACCTGTCGCCCGGCGCTGCCATGACCTGCGAGGCGGAGGGAGGAGATGGGGCGAGGGAGGAGAAGAGGAGGTGAAGACCGCTAGTTAGCTGCCTCCCGGCCCCACCTGCTGCAGTCGATCCCCGAGAGAAGGGGCCGCGCTCTGCCACACTCTCCGCCCAGGCCCGCCTCGGCTGGGCGCGCACCTCCAGCCTGCAGGAGGCCCTGAGGACCTCGGGTCTCTAGCCTACTTCTGCTGCCCGGGATTGCCGGACTCTTAAGAGAGTGAGTCCTGCGCTGGGGGGCTGCCGGAGCCAGACCCAGTCCCCTCGGATGAGCAGCCAGGGCGCTGTCCGCGTCCTGAAATCTCCCCAAACGCGAGCTGGGGCCCGCGAAACGCGCGCGCCGAGGGCAGGAAAGGGCCCCTGTGAGCGTCCGCATCTCCCTAAACCCGAAGCAGCGCGCAGAGCCAGGAGAGCCCGGGGAGAGAAGGCCAGCCCCCGCGCCGGACGCGGGGCCTTCAGGCCACGTTCCCCGGGTCCCAAGGCTGCGCGCACGCTGCAGGAAAATTCCAGCAGCCGGGCGCGCTCTCCCGGAGACAGAACTTTGGGGAATGGAGTAAGTCTCACACCTCGGCCTGTTTCCTAGCTTCCTTCTTGCTCTCAGCTGCTCAGAAAGACTGTACTGTCCCCTGCCGGGCAGCTCCGTAGCATGTCCTCCCCCCCGCCCCCCCGCCACCTCCACTAGTCCCATTCCAAACCAGCGATGCCTCCCCGGGAGTTAAGGCAGGGCGGCGTGGCGTGCGTTGCATCTTCAGCGACAATCTCACCTGCTTCGACTCACGATCGGCCTGGAATGCCCACGGGACAGCCGTTCCGCAGCCTTTATAGCGCTCTCAGAAGGCAGTGAGACGTTTTATTTACGGAGCAACAGAGACACCTTAGTCCAAAAAAGGGACACACAGGCAGCGGTCTTTCCCCACCTATCCTACCAGGAAAAAAAAAAAAAAAATCTACCCCTCCCTAATTCTTTCCCTTTCCCGAAACAGGAAGGCTGAGAATCTTACTGGCTCTCACCCAAGGGCCACCCGCCCCTCAATTACTAACGTGGGCCTCGAGGTCAGGGGCGGAGCAGGCCCTGGAGAGCTTGTTACAGGAGACCAGAGCCCAGCGTGGAAGAAGAGGTCAGTGACTGCGAGGAGCGCTGGCCTTGACTCCTAGGTTGTATGAATCCGGAAGCTCCACGATCTGGCACACAGCTCTCAAACCAAGTGGGGAGGAGGAAAGGAGCAGTGGCCAGTTTTGCATTTAATAAGGCTCTGGATTTCTCGAAGGTCTTTCTTTGGAAGTGCCCAGTGAGTGGTGGTTATAGACAGTTCAGTAATTTATTCATAAAGCTTAGATACGAACTTTTCTGTGCTTATGTGTGTTTCACTTCACAATCAAAAGGAAGTGCCCAGGTGGCCACCCTTTCTTACTTGACTGACCCTTTGGTTCTTGTATCTTTCTTCTCATTGGTCTGAACTGTGAAGGGGGGAATACACTGAAGTAAACAATAATCAAGACTAGAAGGGTGAGAGTGGGGAGTAGGAATCTACCCTAGCTCCTCAGTATTTTGTCTCCTGCTAGGATGAGTCTTGTTAAAGCCGACTATTCTGGTTAAAATGAGGGGAGGGAGTTCAGTAAAGAAGAAAATTCTCTGCTGATTATCAACACCAGCCTTCAGTTACCCAGCTGGAAAATTCAGACAGTGGTAATTTCATAAGCATTAGGAAACAGAATCCTCTCAGGAGAACCCTTGGTGTAAATCCCCTGAAGTTGTATTTGACTCGGTATTACCATGTGTATGTTTTTCTGAGGAATAAATAAATCAGTGGCTTTCAACAGATCTTCCAAAGCTTGTGCTCAGTCATTCAGTCGTGTCCAACTCTGTGACTCCATGAACTGTAGTGCTCCAGGCTCTTCTGTCCATGGGATTTTCCTGGCAAGAGTACTGGAGTGGATTGCCATTTCCTTCTCTGGGGGGAAAAAAAATAAGCTGGCTCAGTGGTAAAGAATCCGCTTGCAATGCAGGAGATGCAGGTTCCATTCCTGAGTAGGGAAGATTTCCTGGAGAGGGAGATGACAACCCACTCCAGTAGTCTTGCCTGGGAAATCCCATGGAGAGAGGAGCCTGGTGGGCTACAGTCCATGGGGTCACAAAGAGTTGGACATGACTTATCGACTAAACAACAAGAACCACAGACTAAGGTTAAGAACCCTTGAAGATACAACCTAAAAAGAAAATCCAGGGACTTACCTGGCTGTCCACTGGTTAAGATTCTGTGCTTTCAATGAAGATGTGGTTTTGATCCCTGGTTGAGGAATTAAGACCCCACATGCTGCATGGCCAAAAGAAAAAAAAAAAAAAGGAAAAGAAAAGAAAAAGAAAATCCAGATCATTAAGTTTAGAATTTTTATCCATCTGCAGAAAATAATGTATGTGTATATAGGATTCCCCCTACCCCGAGACGTTTGGCAATGTCTAGAGACATTTTTGGTTGCCATGCTCAGGGGATGCTACTGAGATCTAGCAGAAAAAGGCCAGGGATGCCTATGATAAACTTTTCAGTCCGTCTAAGTTTCTGTATGTTATTTGAATGTATATTTATTAATAAATCATTATGTATACTAAATATATGCATATCTCTCCATATTTATAGTGTACATGCATTTTCTGTAAGTAGCACATTTATCATTGGATATCAAATTCAACTACACTGAAATAGAGGCAAGTTTTTTAATGTCCCCACTCCTCACACCCCCACAGGTACCTTCAAGATTCAGTTAAAGCTCCTTCTCCTCCATGAACAGTGCTTGATGCTCTCAGAATTAATCCAACTACTTCTCTAAATTCTTTTGGCACCTTATCTGAACTTCTCCCTCAAGACACCTCTTACTATCTACCTTAGGACCATAATTTTATTTACACACAAGTTTTATCTCCCTCACTAGACAAAACTTCATGAGGGCAAGCACGATGACTCCTTATATGTCCTATATTACCTTCTATAACGTATTCTAAAAAGATAAATCTTTGACCCAAACATATTTTTTTAAACAACTAAAAATTATACTGTGTATTGGTCAACAACTTTTTTTCTCTTTGTAGTAAAGGCTGTGTCACAGATATTTTTCCAGGTGAGTACATGTAGAAATTCCTTAATTTTGTTAATAGCTGACTAGGATTTCATACTATAACTCAGTTCCATGGTAACTCCTCTAGACGATTCACAATTCTTTAATGATTTAACTTGGAGGCATTCTGTGTAAATATAAATATAAACCATGTCCCATTCTGATAGGCCTTTCTGTTCGCTGTCATTTGCTGTTTTGGACATTTTTTAGTCTACTTCATTCAGCTCTGTGGACCACTTTGTATCAGAATTTGGTGATCATAGGTTGATGGTAGCAATTCAAAGGAACAAGGGATAGGGTAGAGGTCTCAGAAGGACAGAGGACAAAAAAAAAGCTGTCAAATAACACTAGGAGTCAATGGTGTAACTTTCCTTGGCGAATAGATGGAATTCTTCTTCGAAATGCATTTTTCTAGGTAAGGATTCAGTTTAACAATTATCAAGATATAATAAGACTTGCATGTACCTGGATGAATATATTGCCTTTTTGCTTGTTTGTTAAATGCCTTTTCTACTGAAGAAATAAGCGGTGCATGGACAGAATGGCTTCTCCCTTATAGGTTTCTATAAAAATAAAGAACTACTTCTCTCATTGGTCTGAATTTGTCTGTCCTTTAAAAACAGAGAAGAGTAGGAGGTGGTAACAGCTGGCTTTCTCCACCCAATTTATTTGTTATATTAAACACCTCAAATTACTCACTTTAGAAGTCACCTGTTTCACAGAGGTGGGTGGTTCTTATTTACCAGGATTTAACCATTTCCAGAACTTCTTTCCAAAAAGATAGATGTGTCATTTCAAAATAAATGTCAGACAATATTATCGTTACTTTCCAGCACTTATTTAGCAATTAATGCTGATTTAAAATCCATTTTCTTATTTATATCCTTTAAGCATTTGGAGTGTAAGACAGAGTCCTCTAGAAGATCTGCACACTCATTCATTCATTCATTCACTTATTTATTCATTCAAGGATTTATTGAATTACGTTGGCCATGATACAATGATGAAGAAAGAAGTATGGACCCTCGTCTCATATCTGTAGGTGCAGCAAACATTACTACATGGTCACAAATTTTGTATTATGTTTTACTGACTCTAAAATGCACATTTTTTGCAAATCAAAACTACAATGAGGTACCATCTCACACCAGTCAGAATGGCTGCTATCAAAAAGTCTACAAACAATAAATGCTGGAGAGGGTGCGGAGAAAAAGGAACCCTCTTACTGTTGGTGAGAATGCAAACTAGTACAGCCACTATGGAGAACAGTGTGGAGATTCCTTAAAAAAATGGAAATAGAACTTCCATACGACCCAACAATCCCACTGCTGGGCATACACATCAAGGAAACCAGAATTGAAAGAGACACGTGTACCCCAATGTTCATCGCAGCACTGTTTACAATAGCCAGGACATGGAAGCAACCTAGATGTCCATCGGCAGACGAATGGATAAGAAAGCTGTGGTACATATACACAATGGAATATTACTCAGCTATTAAAAAGAATGCATTTGTATGCACCTCTAATGAGGTGGATGAAACTGGAGCCTATTATACAGAGAGAAGTAAGTCAGAAAGAAAAACACCAATACAGTATATCAATGCATATGTATGGAATTTAGAAAGATGGTAACGATGACCCTATATGTGAGACAGCAAAAGAGACACAGATGTAAAGAACAGACTTTTGGACTCTATGGGAGAAGGCAAGGGTGGGATGATTTGAGAGAATAGCATTGAAACATGTGTATTACCATATGTGAAACAGATCGCCAGTCTAGGTTCGATGCATGAGACAGGGCGCTCAGGGCTGGTGCACTGGGATGACCCTGAGGGATGGGATGGGGAGGGAGGCGGGAGGGAGGGTCAGGATGGGGGACACATGTACACCGATGGCTGATTCATGTCAATGTATGGCAAAAACCATCACAATATTGTAAAGTAATTAACCTCCTATTAAATAAAAAATAAAATGCACATTTTTCACATTTTATCAGGACTCATAATTAATGATGTGTTATAGTTCAATTAGCACTTTTTTTCTTAGTGGTTCATAAAATAATTGTGAGTTTTGCAATTATTGGCATTATAGAATTGATAAAATATGAATATATAAAAAATCATAAGTGAGCTATATTTTTGAGTGATTTCCTGTTATACAAGAATGATTTGAGTCCTATGTTAGTCTAAATTGAGAGCAGTCAGTCTTGCTAACTTTTTCTGGTCTAGAGGGCAAATTTTTATGTAGTTTCTTCTTCCTCTTTTTTTTCCCTCTTTTTTTTTTAACTTAAAAATTTCTTTAGTCAGAAGAATTGAAAAATAATGGAAACATACAAATAATGCCCCAAAGTCTGTTTTTAAAAGCAATCTAGATTCTGGTTTTTATCATTTTCTTTCTTTTTATTTTTTGGTTTTTATCATTTTCTACCTTTGAATTGTAATGTTTGTAATTTATGCCTTAATTTTTTTTTAATGTAGAATTGAATTGACTCACTTCTGTTTGGATGCAGCTTTTCACCCACTGTTAATCACATTTCAAACAGAAACTACACCCTCTTCACACTGGCATTGGTGAAAAACCAGTTGCCCAGGGTAATCATTTTTCCCTGGGAAATTCAATTCTGATCCTGAGTTTTATTTTTATCACATTTGTTAATTTTCTCAAGACAATGGATGCTAAGTTTCTGCCATATTTAAACAGAAAGAGAACTTTAACTTTCTCTTTTTCTGATCTCTCCTCTGAACAACTGATTTGGCTTGCTTTCAGTAATCATACAGCTTTGTACACTATTGTTTTCTATTTATTTCCTGTATGTTACTTTTTTCCTCCTCTCCAGATATAAGATCAGCTCCTTAAAGTCAGAAATAGTATCTTATATATTTTTATAGTATTAAAAAATTACATATAGCCTGTAGTGAGCAACTGGGGTAATATAGCAATTGTTTCTTATTGCACCACCCAGATGGTCTCTGTCAAGTTTTTTGCTTATTTCCTTCTTACTTTTT